GGCCAGGCCCTGAGACATCTGGGAGGACTCTAATGGCAGGCTTCCTCCCTGGCTGTGGCAGGGAAGAGGCCTGGTCTCCAGGTGCTGCACATGACACCCCACCCAGTACTGCAAGGCTGCTTCCCATTGTGTCTTCCACCGGCCCCACCACTGCGGCGGCTGGAGGGGCACAGAGCACAGAAAGGAACCACGGGGAGCTCAAGTGTGCTCCAGGCAGGAAGGGGTGGGCTCCAGAAGCACAGGACTCTTTCCAGGGGAGTATATACAAGTCTTTATAAAAGAACAAAGCTCAATAAATATGCAGCTTTACACAGAGCCAACCCAAGCCTGAGGTGGCCAGGAGGACTGGGAAGGAGAGAAAGAGGGGATTAGGGGCTAGGGTGCATCCCATTGAGGACAGATGAGGGTGGCCATGGGAAGAGGAGCCTGGGAGCCCAGCCCAGAGGATCAGAGCTGGTAACTTCAGGAGTAAGGGACAAGGGACTTCCTGGGCAGGTGTGTGGAGAGGGTTCTATTGCCCAGGCCTGAGGCTCTGCTGAGCCCTCCTCCACTTCATTCAGTCCGACAAAGTGCAAATTGGCCCTGGGGTGGTAGCTGGGGTCCTGACTGACACTCCGGCTCATGCACACATGAGGCAGCAGGTGAAGCAGGTGCCGCACCCCTAGAAGCATGCTGTCTGCTGTCCCTTGGTCAGTGGCACCTTGGAAGCCTCCATCTGCTCAGACTTCCCTGCAAGGGTGGGGAGACAATTTCCTTAGCTGCTGCCATTTGGAGTGGCTCTAGTCACCCTCTTCCCCTACCACGATCCTTAATTCCCTTCACTGCTGCCTGCCAGAGACACCTACAGGAAGTGGGATTATGTGGCTTGCCCAGGCTCCTCCATGTCAGAGGCCCCAGCATTTGCCCTCGGAGCGGCCCACTTCAGTGGGACCAGCTCCTCCAGTGGAGAAGAGAGGCAGTGGGATTAAGTCTAAGGCTCCTCTCCGTCCCATCCCCAAATGCTGATGTTCCCAGTTATCATCACCATGCCCCTACCCACTACCAGAACTTAGTACAACAACAGCACACTAAGCCACCTGTCCCATACGCCAGCCAGGCCACTCACGAGGCAGTGAGCGTGGAATTAAGCAGCAGAGTGGTCCTGATTCGATAGAGCTGGGCCAGAGTCAACTTCCTGTGCTGGACAGAGATCCCTGGTGGGGGCTCAGGTTGGACCCTGGGAGAGGGTGGCTCTCTGTACCTCCTCCTGGCAGGGTCTGCAGGCTCCCCAGGCAGACAACTGGTTCTGTCCCCAGGCTCTGGAGGCTCAGGGCTGCTGCCAGGTATGCATGCTGCCTGGCAATCCCAGCCAGGTCCAGCTTTCTGAGCAGAGCCCTGAGTCCTAGTGCCAGGAGCTACAGTGGCCAGGCAGAGCTCTGACAAGCTGCGGCTGGGAGCTGGGGGTCCTCCACAGGTGGCAGCCCCAGACAGCAGCTGGAGGAGGCTGGCCTCGGATTTAGACTTGAGCAGGCGAGGCAGGCTGGGCAGCAGCTGGACAGGGGTGCGGCGGCGGAGGCGGGGCGAGGGTGGGGGTGAAGGAGTTTGTGACAACTCTGTGGGCTGGGGCACTGGCTCCACCGCAGGGGCTGGAGCTGAAAAATCTTGCAGGGAGGTGGGGGACAGGGTGCCATAGGCAGAGTCCATGGAGCAAGAGCGGCCATCCACTGGGCCCAGCGGCAGCAGTTCGCTGGTGGGTGTGATCGATGAAGCAGTGGAGCTAAGAGAGGGCTCATCCGACTGGGAGCTTAAGGGGCCACCATCAAACTCGGAGGACAGCATCTCGCCAGGTTCCACCACAACCATGGCCAGGGTCTCAGTGGAGCCATCTGAAGCACTGTGGGACCAGGGGGAAGGTCAGCCCAACCAGAGGAAGCCTAGAAGGCCTGGAACAGATCTCAAGGCTCAGAGCTCCTCAAGCTCCTGGGTCCACAACAGACAATAATGGATTCCAGCGCTCTTTTCTGGTCTAAGAATCTTCAGCACAGGGCTCCAGGCAGCCACCACTAATAGATCAAAGCTGACACTCAAATTAGAAACTGTTCTCCCTGCCTCGACCCTGGTGGGGACTGAGCTGCCTCCGACATCCCCTTCCTTGTTTACCACATGCGGCTCTTCAGAAGGGGCCGTGGCTGGGTGTCAATGGCTGAGAGCGTGAGGCCCTGGCGGAGGCACATGGCCTGCTGTGTGGTCTTGGGCACACTTACCAGTGCTGGGAGTTGAGGCTGTTGCTGCTCCTGCGCAGGATGGTCGGGGAGCTGGCAGCCGAAGTGCTGCTCTCACCTTCCTCCTCCTCTTCTTCTTCCTCCTCTTCCAGTCTCTGTAGAGGTTGCTGGTTGCCTGGGTGCTCCTGTGCGCGCAGCTGTTGCAGCTGGTTCTGCAGGTAGGAGAGAGTGGGCCCAGGGGTAGAATGGACTGGGACCAGCAGCCTCCAGTCTGGCCTGCCTACCCTCACACCACTCTGCTCTCACCTGAGCATTGTAAATGGCATCCACCCAGCCTCGGCACAGGGCCTGGCCACTAGCCTGGAATGTGTAGGCCCCCACGGCACTGTGGAACTCGTTCAGGTAGATGAGGAGGAAGGAGCCTGGTCAGGAAAGACCCACATCAATGTTGGTCAAGATCAGAGCCCCTCCCATTGCAGCCCCAGCCCAGGAGCAGGGGCCAGTGCTCCTCACCAGGGTCCCGCAGCTCCCGGCACACAATCTTGTCCACCAGCAGTGGTGGCCTGATGACCTTGGTCCTCTCAGCCTTTTTCACTGCCTTGGTCACTAAGAGCAGATCAGTGAAGAGGAAGCAGTACACATCCATCTGGGGTGGGGGAGCAGGAGAGGGTCAGAGGCCTGGGCTTGCTGCAGTGTGCTGGGAGCACTAGGAGCACTGAGAACACTGCAGTATGCAGGGAGTGCTGGGAGCGCTGAGAGCACTAGGAACACTATGCTGGGAGCACTGGGAAACTGCAGGATGCTGAGAGCATTGGAGTTCACCAGGAGCACTAGGTTTTTGTCAGATACCTCTGCACCCCCCCCCGCCCCTGTGAATCTTTAAAATTCAGAGAAAGATGATTTTCTGAGACACACATTTCTGAATTATTTCAACCAGTTTACATTAAAGAGAAGAAAAGGAAGGTGATTTTTAAATCACAATGTGTAGACTCTCAGCTACCCAGTGCCTAAAGCCTGAGCAGCACAGTAAGCAAGGCCCTGGGCAGTTCCTGGCCTTTACAGACCATGCCCCTCCTGCCCACCTCTGTGGCTATGACCCTGCTGTTTATGTGTAAAGAGTAAATTGTTTGCAGACCATCATCCATCACTATAGCTACAAAAATTGCTAGTTCCTGGGTCACCACTGAACTGACTATGCAGCTGAGAACCACTAGCTGCGGCCCATGAGGTCCCCAAGAAGGGTGGTCCACACCAAAGGGGCAAGGAGGGTGGGGCAGAGCAGGGGGTTGTGGCCCCTAAGTCACCTTGCTGTCCTTCCCCTCCTTCATCTTTAGGCTCCCCTCCAGCAGCAGCTGCCGTGTCTCCTCTGGGGAGGCACCAGGGATGGGTGCTGTCAGGTCCAGATGCAGAAATTCCTTCAGGAGCTGGGGATGGGGGTGTGGGTGTAGGAAAGGTTAGGATCTGAGTGCCCACCTCAGCTAGGAGGCCAGCATCACCCCTGGCTGCCATTTGGCCCTTCCTCCTTCCCAGCAGGACGCAGGCCCTTTCCCAAAGACACAGTGCCCACCTTGTCCACCTCGTCGTTGCTGCCTTCCACCACCTCATAGGCATCAATGCGGCTCACCACCGCTGCCAGCCGCTGCCGCTCCTGTCGCTGCCTCATGCATGTGTTCACGTGGTGGATGAAGCGCTCCACGGAGCTGATCTGGGGACAGGCAGTGTGGCTTCAGGCCCGGGGACAGGGAGGGACAAACAGCTGGAAGAGACCCCACCTACTGTTCGGGTTACCATGGTGGCGATGGCCTCCCTGTCGCGGGGCTCATCAGTCTTCCGCAGCACCGATTTGAGCAGCAGAGGGTATTTGGTGAGCCGTTGGTGGGGCTTGGCCAGCATGTCACTCAGCTTCAGCCGCTGGCACTGCTGGTGCTTCTCAGCCCACTGCAGCCAGAGGGGGCGGGACTCAAATCGGGCCCCGCCCAGCCAGCGGGAGCCCACAGCCCAGCCCCAGCACCCCCAGCGCCCCGCCGCCCCGCCGGCTCTCACCGTGATGTAGGCGCGGAACAGGTCGTTGTCCCGCAGCAGACCGCGCATGTACTCCATGCAGCCCTCCTCCTCCATGCAGTATCGGACATACGGCTTGAACAGCGACCCGAACTGACCCAAGGGAGAACAACCACAGCACCTGTGACCCCGCGCTCCCTGTGGACCGGCCCAGGCCTCACAGTGCTTTCGGGACCACCCAGGGGGTGACAAGCTTATTATTCCAGGTGAAGAAACTGGAGCCTCAGCGAGATTGACTACTGAGAGTCTACCGTGGCCAGGTGCAAGGATGGATGGCCAAGGGGGGGTTCAAATTCAAACGCCCAACACATACTTCCCACAGGGGTCACCCGGGGTCACTGGTCAGAGGGAATTGAGGGCAACAAGTACACGGGATTAGGCCATGGAGTCTTGGATGCCCCAACCCTGCGTCAGTGGCCTCGCCTGCGTCCGACCCTGCGCGTACCATCTTGAAGCCTTTGAGGAAGTCCCCAGGCTGCAGCAGGGCCCGCGTGCGCCGCGCCTTCTCCAGCACCGGAGCCATCACACTGCCCCAAAGTGCGCGGTGCAGCCGAGCGATCTCTGGGATGTTGCTGAACAGACGCTCCGCCTCCACCTGCGCAGGGCGGAAGGTGGGTCGGCCCCGCCCCACAATCCTGGCCCCGCCCCCTTCCCAGTACCTCCCCCGCCCCCGCTCCCAGGCCAGGCCATACCTCGCACAGCAGCCCAGACTCTTGCAGGTTCAGAAGGCAACACAGGAACAACTGTGGGGACAGGGGACACTGCAACGGACCTGAAGCCCCACCCAGACTCAGGCTCCCTTCCACAAAGGCCAGAATCAGGGATAAGGAGGGAGCAGGAGCACCATTTGGTCTTCTCATTTGGGAGCTCCAAGGCCCCCATGGCCCACCTGGGGGTCAACCTGCCCTCGCCCCACCTGGAGGAGAACGGGGGAGACTGGCCCTGCAGCATCCCCTGGATCCTCTCCTCTGCCCTGGCCCAGCCTCAGGTTTTGCCTTAGAGGGTGAATCCTCTTTCCAGGAAGACTTCTTGAACCCCCAGGCACAGGGCAGGCGCTCCCCTCCCTGAGCTGGAACCCCCACAGTACCTATACGTCCTGTCTCATGTAGGGTGTGGGCCCTGGCACCTGGCACACACCAGTGTTCAGAAGCAGCGTTGAAGGAGAGAATGAGGCCTCACCTGTGTTCACTCAGCTTAACCTGCCCAATCTGCCTGAAGCCCCCTCCCAGGTGCCTGTGGAATCACCTGTTCTTAGCGGGGGGGCCAACCCTTCTCTGATTTTCCTGTGCCCCCTTTGTTGTTGGGTACCTGCTCTTTCTGCACAACCCCAGATTCAGCTGAGAGTCCACCTAGAAAGAGACCAGGGCGGCAGGTAGGTGAGGTGGACGCTAGGATGGAGGCCCCCACTTACGTTGGTGATCACTCGCAGTTTCCTGATGTAGGAGGCCTCCGTGTGCAAGAGCTCCCACACTGCCTCCTGCTGGTGGCACTGCCGCCGCGTCAGCTTCTAAAGGGAGGGCAGGGCAAGTCAACTAGGAGCCCAGGGCGCGGAGGGCAAGGTGGGGTGGGCAACCCTGCATGGAAGTCCTCGATTTCCTGATGGGGACACAGAGGTCCTGGAGGAGGCAGGCCACTCTCACCATCACATGGATCTTCACAATCAAGACACCCACGACTGGGTCTTCCTCTGCCACTAAAACAGCCAAGCCACGCACCACTTTCACACAGCTTATTTCCCCCAAAGTGGGGACAGCCTCTTGGGGCCATTTTATGGAAGATCCTGTCACTGGGTCCTCATAAGGGCTATCCCCCTTTCATACGCTAGGAGGGACGGGAAGGCTGCAGCTGCACCCACCTCATGCCCGTCAATGAGCTCCCTCCAGCTGTCCTCCAGCCGGAGGCACGGGGTATCCTCATCCTCGTCCTCATCGACCTCTTCCTCCTCCCAGGAGTCGTGGTCAAAGCGCAGCCTCCGGGGCAGCCGGGGCAGCCCAAAAAGGCCATAGGCATGCAGCTTGCCCTCCAGCTGCTCCATCTTGTCCACCTCCTAGGAGGAGACCCACGGTCAGGGTCAGGGCCAGCAGCTGCCCTGCCCCTGGAGCCCACAGGGCCACATACCCTGCCAAAGGCACTGGTGCTGGGGCTTGAGCTGAAGAAGCCACTGAAGCGACTGGCTGCCCGGTTCTTCCAGCTGTCACTGCCCCCACTGCTAGTGCCACTGCTGTTGCTACTGGGTAGAGAGCAGCTGGAGGGCATGGGGGGCTCTTGCCCCGGGATGCTGGACTCCCCCAGGAATTCTGACATGTTCTTACGACGGCGGCCAGGTGCCTAGGGAGAGCACGGAGGTCAAGGCCAGCCTGACCCGCCTCTGTGACCCCACCTCACAGGGATTCCCAGGACCTCAGGCCAGCTTGGGATGTGGGAGGGTCTCTAAGCCTGGCCCTGGGTGTCAGCTCTCCTGAAACCTGGACTTCTCAGGGCTGGAAGGTGCAGACAGATTCGCCCAACTGTCTTCCCCCAGCCACAAGCACAGAGCAGGTGGGAGGAAGAGTTATACACACACTCAGAGGCACCAACAAGTACTGCTCCAAATGGGGCCCGTGCCATGTGAGGTCTCACTCCCGAGCACAGACGGGCTCATGAACACACACACTCTCCGACTCGCTGGGCAGCACAAGACTCAGAGACAAGACCCATGGCTAAATTCAGAGGGGAGCCCTAGACTCACAGCCGGCTCCATCTTCCAGAAGGGGAAGTTAAACCCCAAGAGTGGACAGTGAGGGACCCAGAGTGACTTCCCTCTAAGCTGTCCTGCTCCCAGCGCTGACAGCCCCTCCTCACCAAAATGTCGAGGCTCTCCCGGCGGCTCTGGGGATCCACACGCTCCAGTGCGGGGGACCAGGCCCCGGCCGACCGCAGGATTGGCAGGCTCAGGGACTTGGAGTCCTTCACGCCCTGCTCCACTTTGCCCTCATCCCCTGGCTTGGCTGGGGTGGTGTGGGGGCAAAAAGAGGTCTTCAGTGCCTGGGTCTGAGGGAAGTGAGGCCCCAGTCCTCTCTCCCCAGAGGATCTGAGCCCAGGCCCAGCTGCCCTCCTCCCACAGCCCCACCCTGACAGCACCGGCCACCAGCCAGGGCAGAGACACCTGTATGGTAATGAGCCTGCTCAGGGCCACAGCCAATGGGAAGCTGAGCCTGGAAAGGGCTCCCATCTCCGGGAGGAGGCACCACCAGGTCCTAGCAACCCGGCTACCTGTGAAGCCTGCTGCTCACCTTTGACCCGCAGGTAGTGTCCACCAAACCTGTAGGCCTCGAAGGTGAGGGACAGGGGCGTGTTGGACTGGTCGAGGTAGATATCCACTTTGCCCAGTGCAATGCCCTTTCTTTCGAACACGGGCAGCAGCACCTCCCTGTCCCCAAGAGGGAAATGTGTGTGTTGGGACAATTTATGCAAGACCCCTCTCCACCCACCTCCCTATCAGAAAAGGGAGGCATGGGCAGAATCCTGTCCCCAGGGAGCACACAGGCCAGCACACGCACACCTTCACAGGTACGCTGGGACCAGGCCCTGCACACAGGATTGGAACGCAGATGCACAGACCCTGTCCTGGTCTCTTGCACAGGTATGTACATCCACACAGGACTGCCCAGAGGTGGAGACATAGCCACCTCTCTCTCCCTGTCTGTCTGTCTGTCTCTCTCTCTCTCTCTCTCACACACACACACACACAGACCTGGAGCCTCCAGCTAGGGAGGCCTCACTGGCCCCAGCCCCACTTCCCCCCCCAGCAACACCGAGCCCTACCCCAGCGACTTCTTCTTCAGAGCCGGCACGATCTCTGTCTCTATGTCCACGTTGAGGTCAAATTTCAAGGTGAAGCACTCCTTGCTGGGGTCCTATGATGACAGGCGTCTGTCAGCTTCTCCACTGCCAGCCCCCATCTCCTACCAGTCCCTCCCAGGAGGGAAACCCCCGCAGGCAGGTGAAGGCCAGGTGTCTCCCAGCCCCCCTCTGTCCCTGGGAGGCCACAAGGGCTCTCCTGCCCAAGGAGCTCCTGGAGAAACCTCAGCCAGAGCCAGGGCAGTGCTGGCTGCAGGGTACAGTGGCAAGGAAGGGACACGCTCACTCCAGACCCCATCCCGCATCCTAGAGTTCAGAGTGGGGAGGCCCCGCCTAGGGGAAAGGAAGGGGCCTGGGAGGGGCAGGCACTGTCTGGGCACCCCCTCTGCCAGCCCTGGGGGCTCCTCACATCTGTGTGTCTCCTCCTTGCTTTCTTCTTGGAGAGTCTCAGTCCTGTACTCTTCCGGTCCCTTCAGGGAAAAAATGAAGGCAGATCTGGGAGGTGGGGGTGGGCCCTCACCAGGAGAGGATGTGAGTGGGGCCTTGGCAGGTCCCACATGGGACTGTGCGCCCTCTGGTGGCCAACACAGGCTCACACAATGCTTCCCAGACACCTTGCAGGCTGGCCCAGGCTGGGACAGCCTCCTCCAGGAACCAGGGTATCCACAGGGGTGGGAGGAGTTTGCCACTCGGCCCTTCAGAGAAAGGTGCCAAAGCAGCTGGTGCCTGGGGCTCTCCCCCAGGGTCTCTGCTCTGCCCACCCCCCCTCACCTACCCCTTGCCATCTACAGAGCTTTCCTCCTCCTCCTCATCCAGGTCCACCGCAGGGCTGGTACGTGGGGGGCATGACCGGGTGGACACATTCCGGGCTAGGATAGAGCCTTTGAAGAAAAGGGGTAGAGGGTTGCACCTTCTCCCTCCCTGACCCCTCCTTAGTCCTTGAACATGGGTACCTCCAGAGGGACAGTCTGTGACCCCTGGAATCCCTCACCAAGTTGCTAGGGTCCTTCAGGTCTTCAAGGAGATGGAGGGGTTTTTTTTTGTGTGTGTGTGTATGTACCAGGGATTGAACTCAGGGACACTCGACCACATCCTCAGCCCTATTTTGTATTTTATTTGGAGACAGGGTCTCACTGAGTTGCTTAGGGCCTTGCCATTGCTGAGGCTGGCTTTGAACTCGACATCCTCCTGCCTCAGCCTCCTGAGCTGCTGGGATTACAGGTGTGCACCTCCGTGCCTGGCAGAGATGGATTGTTCATTATCATCTATCCCTCAGACACAAAGAGGTACCCCAGGAGGACACCCCAGGTGCTGGGATCACTGCAGGCAGGGACCAAAGTCCACGGATCTTCCTTTCAGGCATCCCCTCACCGCGCTGCATGGGCAACACCTGTGGTCATGTGGGAGGGAGAGCAGGGCCAGCACTGCTGCACAGGCCTGGGATGGCCTTCAGTGGCGGGGTGGGCAGGCCCTCTCAGCCAGAGGGGTTCCTTGTTTCCTACCACAGGTCCTCTGACCTGCCTCCACCCCACCTGCCTCTGCCTGGAGGGTCTGCCCGGAAGTCCCTGCCCTGAGGAGAAGAAAGGGGACTTTCTCCAGCTGGTCTGGGCCACACAGCACTGGGAGACACAGGCCTGCCCTCGAGATGGGCACTGGCCCTGGAGGGTCTGTCTTGCTAAAACAAAAGAACTGCCACATATTTGGATTACAGATGACTCTCTTCCTCCTGATGACCCTGTCAAGGTTCCAAGGGTTACCAAAACACTGTCCCCACCCCAGAGCTACCCAGGAACTCTCGGGGCCAGCAGGGGCCCTCTCCTGCTGACCTTGGGGGGGCAGGTCGAAGCGGACGTGCCCATCGTAGCGCACGGCGCTGTGGAATTTGCTGTCACAGGCCTCGCAGAGGTTGAGCGGCCCCCGGTGGTGCAGCTGCTGGCAGTCTGCGTGATGGCACACCTGCAGGTGGAGAAGGGGAGGATGGGTCAGGGCTCCACGGGCAGGCGCAGGTGCCGCCCAGACCGTGGCAGTGCCCAGCTGTGGCTGGCCCTCTCACCCAGCCAGCCATTCCCACAGGCACCTGATGCTTTGCCCATGTTGATTCATTTGGCAAACCTTCCCCAAGCACCCGCCATGTGCCCATTCCTAGGAAGCAGAGAGAAGCAAGGCCTGCCCTGGAGGAGACCTCGAGCAACAAGCATGAGGCTGGGCAACCAGGGCCTCTCCCTGGGGCTCGGGCAGGAAGACCCCCAAGATGGAGCTGGGGAATGCTCTCTGGTTTGGCCAGTTTGGTGTTGGCAAAGCCCTCCACCCATCCTGCCTTCTGTCGTTAATTCTGAGGCCCTAACAGCACAGGGTAGAGCTGTGGAGCAGTCACCTGGAGGTGCTGTGGGCGTCACCTGGGGTCCACACACCACTGCTGCTGACTGGCACCTAGATTTACTGGGCCTGCCTCCTCCATCCTCCAGGGTGACTGTCATGTCTTCTCTGCCCTCTAACCTCCAACAGCCCAGCCTAACCTACTGTGGTCACTCTGCTTCCTGCTACTCCAGAAAAACAGAAGCCAGCAGTAGGAGACCCGCATATCCGGTCACGGCATGATGGTCCCACTCCAGTCTCAGGCAGCCTTCCTCCAGGCCCTCCCCCAGGGATGCAGAGATGCTGCTCAGATTCCCCTTCCCCTGCACAGCCAAGTGTCCCTCCACAACACAGGGTCACAGTCCGGCACAGCACCAGGAGCCCTCCACCTCAGGAGCAACTGCACACCGGGTGTCTGTGTCCACACTCACCACAATCGCCACTTCCCAGTCCTTGCCTCCCATTCTGTTTCCTAGTTTTCATTTTTAAATATTTCAAACCTCATTGGGCACGGTGGCACATGCCTATAATCCCAGTGACAAGGGACGCTGAGGCAGGAGGATCACAGTTCACTGCCAGCCTTAGCAACTTAGCAAGGCTCTAGCAACATGGGGAGACCCTGTGTCAAAATAAAAAATTAAAGAGCTGGGATGTGGCTCAGTGGTTAAGCACCCCTGGGTTCAATCC